TTTTTGGGTGTAATTTTTTAACTATAAACATCAATTGTCATTGGCATTGTTACGTCAGCCTTGTCTATATTGACACGCGCGTCTCCAAACGCATTCGTAAAAGAGCGTTGAGCGCGACTGGAGTAATCTTGTCAGTTATACAGCGCCTCTGGGGGCTAGCATTATACATGTATAATGTATCACCTCTCATATAAAGTACACTATGTTCAACATGAGATCAGGGAATCAGGTATACTGAACACTTCACAGTCGCAAGTGTCAGCCCATTGTGAAGCAACGCAACTCATTTGTCCACAAACTTCACGTGAGTTTCTACTCAGGGGATATTAAAAGAATATAAAATCATTTACGAAAGCTTGCATGCGGCTTTCGGCCACTGACCACGGAGAATGTATTAGGTGACCCAGAGGTGCATAAAGCGTAAAAAATATGTTAAAGGTAATTCGCAGATAAAGCCACCCGAATACTCGTAAAATACAAACTGCATTCTTAGCGGACTAACGAACTTCGTGGATATAATTAGAACGCCATTCCATCGTGCATTTCCGTGAAAATTGCATTGCAATAGGTCTGTAGTTTGGTGCCAGTGGCGCGAGTAGGCGATCGACTGTATTTGTTTTACTCTCTGCCGCATGCGCCAACTCGACAATTCGAGACCTATCGGATGTGGGTGAACGGGGCTTCACCAGGCCAGCGTAGGGCAGGTTTGTGCCAACAATCGCGGTTCTTAGACCTCGAGAAACGTTAACATCAAGCATCGCACAACGGGTTTTTGCACATTATCTATGTAATGCCACTTAACTTGAGTGAAATCGGATGACATGAGTCTCTGTGGCGCGCCCCCTTTCCCTCTCCGGTTTTTTGAACAATTAATGCTCCGTTTTTTTTCAGATTCAATAAGACAATTTTCAATTTTTTTTTTGCAAAAATAAATAGATTTTTCAACTTAAAAAAATTTAAAGAATTTTTTTCCTATTTCCATTGCCAAGACTGAGTTAGATCCGGGAACACGTTATGCCGGCGCAATTGCAAATTGGTAGGGGTGTTATACCACTCCTTTCGATTAAATCGACAATATCCAATAAGAATTGCTTAGACATATAGAAATAATAAAGATAAGAAAAAGCGCTTGCGGGTAGGCCAGAAATTGAAATACATGGCTTATCATAATATTTTGTAGATTGTGCTGTATCATTAAATATTATGAACTATCATTTTGTGTTACTGAGATTTATAAATAATGTAGTTCCCAAATATCCCCATGCAAAATTTTTAACAAATAAATTTATTTTTTACAATTTCATGTTCATGAACTAATTTAAGGAATTGATTGGAATACGGGATAAATTGCAAGTATTTCAATGTCTATCGTGTAATCATTGAACAGTTCATACATTATATTTCTTCATACACGTTTCGGGCTTTTATTTTTTTGAACATATTAATTCCATTCCTATTGTTCGTCTCTTCCTTTGACTGCTAAGAACGAATTCCGGGGCTTTCTCACGCCCCAACTAACTCGGATTGAGCTAAGATGAGAGACTACAGAGACAACAGCTCGCAATATATGCCGCGGCCGTAGCTCGCTCCTATCTTCCCGGTTTCCACAAGCCCTTTTGATAGCTTGAACTTATGCGAGATCGCTCTCAATTCAGCGTGCGCTCAATCAGTTTTCAAAAATATACTTTCTTCTCTCCCATCGGGAATCTCCTCGCTATTCTTTTTCTCGACTCTATCTTCTCTCTTTCTCACCTATCTTATATAAACATATAGATTCATATAGTATATATATATATATATATATCTATATATAATTATTCTAAACTAACGACCACCGACAAGCCGGGCAAAACGTTGCCACCGGGGTTCAACTAGCAGCACGTAATGAACCGCAAGCGGGTTTATCAGGATTGTTGCTCGGGAAGCGGCTTGAAAAGTCTGGGGGGAGCAAGGAATCTATCTATGGGTGCGAGAGATTTGAACCCTTGCATCGTTACAATATATTTCTTAAAGCAAGTATGACACAAACGAGCGTTATTACATTCCTCAACTACCATAACTTTGATCAACTTTTAGAGAGTGAGCGAAATAAAAAGATAATTGTATGATCAAACAACGCCAAGAATATGTGAATCACACACTGTTACAAAGATGATCACAAGACAAATAGAAACCTTTAAATCAACACACGCAACCGGCTAGCTACACTCATATGAATGAGCTCTTGAAACAACCCGAAAAGTTTGATAACTCTCGAAATAATTACCTATAATCTATTCTATCTGGGATAATAATGTTAATTGTCCTTGTGGGAAATTAGATTATATATAACCGATACATCGAAATGTATGCCATTCTGAAACAAATTTAACAATGCTCACATGCGGATAACCTAAAAGTTTCTAAATTTCTTACGATAGTTTATGCTTCTCTATAATAAAAATTTGAATGACAGGAACAAATATGACTGTGTGGCACGTAGCACTATGTCTTCAGATTTATCAACATAATATCTCTGTACGAATTTACAGAAAAACCTGCACGATGATAGTTCAGATCGCTATAAAATACAGTACTAGCTAAATAAAAAAGTTTTACCTGCAGCAAATAGACAATCAAGCATAAATGGTAGACATTGTCTGGCAGCATAAACTAAGTGTAGTAATACTTAGCAAAATTTTGCTTTGCTAAGCAAAACGTGTAACTATTCTTAACACTAATTTCCCTATACTAGTTTTTGAATACAACTTGGTCTCAGATACGTGTAGACTTTGATCTATCTATTTCCCAAAGATGCGCTCCTAACTAACGTAACCAGATCGTGGAACTCAACTCTATTGGCACAGTATAGATGGTCTGTGTAGCGCAACTGTGTCATCTGCGTTATCGTTACGTTTATCGGTTCGAGGAGAATATCTAAGCTTAGTGTCATAAACGAGATACCGGGCACAGATTCGCCTCAGACTCTTCGTCTAGGATTTCGTAAATGCTGTCTTTTTTGCGTCCATTTCCGTTCTTTTCTTACCCCTAGTCGGACTCTTCTTCTCCTCGTCTGCCTACCGGCGCTCTGACTACGCCGCACGTTGCAGAACAATGTCCCTTGCCACTCTCACGAATACTCGTGCAAGTTTCCTCGCTCGTTGCCACTGTCCTACTTCTGGCTAAACAGCTTGCTCAATTCTTCTCTCACAAATGGATTTTCACTTCCGTGTCGTTAATGGAAGGAACCTTTACCTGAATCCTGCACTATCTCGCGGACGAACTGACATAGAAGCTCTGTTGGACCCCGCAATACTCCTACCCCCTAAGTAGTCGTTGCAGCGGCAAACAATTATTCGTACAACTAATGTTAACGAAGTGTTGGCTCGGCGAGCGGTGATCAATGCTTTACCTGGCTCGGCAATCGGGAACGCCAAAGAGAAGCTGCTTACTCGCGAGTGGTGGCCAAGGAAAAAGACGGAAGCTTCGCGCTTGCGGGTTCGCGTATTTACTGTCCACGCCTGGGGAAATTCTCAAGTGGTGGGTGCTTTCCACTCTCTCCACCCTTCACAAGGAAAACGTCTGCTCGCTAGTTCGCCTTCGTTTAGTACGGGGCTAACGGATACCAGGCCGCGCGGTTTATGAACCTTTGCATTCCGCGGCCTTGCTATCCCCGCCGTTGGCAGCGGTCTCGCGGCTGTTCTCTGGACATTGTCGCATACGTGGAATGTCACACATTACTAGACCGGTGGTGTTATGGGGTTGCGCAGAAACGCCATAACGTCACATTACTTTATATATTATATTACTATCATATATATGATATATATTTATATATTATACTATATATATTGCAAACGAAGAACTGTTTCTTGGGTTCATTGTAACTAAATCAAAATTGATTACTAATTCTAATTAATAACGAGAAGTCACTTTAAATGAATTAGCCTGAGTAATGCCGGCCTGCCTGCGCTCGCTGCCCCTACCCTTTTAACGGTCAAATCGGGGGGTTATACGGGCGAGGGCGTAGTGATCGTTTGGGGTAGTAAAGACAGATGAGGTCCCTGCAGCCGCATACCGGAAACGGGCCTGTGCTTGGCTCTTATATGCAATTGTTTATATGTGATGTTCAAATCAGATGTATGGAATAGATTGATTAGACCATATATAAGTGGGAGAATTACGAGGTGGATTAAAATTTGTATAATTCAAGGTGATTAGGAGAAATGGAAGTGCGCACCAGTGACCGGCGATCTAGTGACCAACATTATTATTATTGTAGACTTTGAAGTAGGCGACCAGAAGAGAGATAATGTCCGCCTCCGGGGTGTGATGCACAAACGGCCCGCACCGTGCGAACATTCGAGGTGGCGTGGTTGGAGAGATGTCGAATCATAATCTGCAGAGCATGATCAGAAGACGTGAAATGCGAGACGGGAACGCAAACTCGCGGCGCTTGTAGACCTTGTTAGTATAAGAAAATATAGCTACGTTATCTCTCGGTACATGGTGATATTGCTTTTAAAGAGCTGAGAGGGAGAGCTATGTTTGGAGCTCACTTCTCTCAGGCCGAAACCTCACGCTATGGACCATGTTGTCCTGATAGAGTAGGGTTGCTTAAACTATGTACAGAATATGTAATCAAAGGTAAGAACAACGCTAATGTTGGTAGAGCGCACCCTACCCCATTTGTCTTCATGATTCATTCTGGTGGGCGGAACCGATGTTTTTACCGAACACGCCGCCGAGTTGACCCGATTTTCCCCTTTTGAATATGCAACAAATGTGGTGCGCCCTCACGCGCAGCAGCTCGCTCTGCCACTAGCAGCCGGTGGTCAGTTGATAAAGGAAGCCTCAACAGAGTAGTCGATTACTTGGTGCACGAATCGACTAAAGGAACACTAAGCGCTATACTGCGGATATGATGTAAAGTTGGTCATGTTCGTGCTACATCGCTGTGTCTCAATCATGTAATAACACTCTTCACTTTAATTGCACGCTATAGTAGAGTTTATTCCTCGATCATATTTTCTTGTATTCTATAATGACACCAGCGTCATATCTGCTACACTGAAGCCCATTAGCGAAGAAATGTACGCCGTGCCTTAGTAATCATTTAAATATATAGATAACGTAGATAGAGTTACGGAAACCGTGGTTGCTCCGAGTAGTTATACAAATGATATATTAAGATGAAATATTGATTAATAATAAATATTGATGCTGTTTTTAACCGGCCCAGGCACTAATTCTTTTAAAAACATGTATATTATATATACATATAATATATATATAATAAAACTATATATATAGATAGAGAGAGAGAGAGAGAGAGAGAGAGAGAGAGAGAGAGAGAGAGAGAGAGAGAGATAACATCAAAGGCTTTGGAAACGGGAAGTTAGAGCGAGCACGCCGCCATACCGAGCGTTTCTGAGTCTCTCTCTAGCACCAGTATTGGGGCGTGAGAGAAGCCCGAATTTTCGTCAGGGGGACGACAGGGAATGATTAATATGATTAAAAATAAAGCCAAAGTGGTATAAAAAATAATAAATGTTATGAATTTAAATTGGATAGCATTAAAATTCAATTTATCCCTATCCCAATCAATTCCTTAAATTATCATTAACATGAAATTGATAAAAAATAAATTTATTTTGTTAAAATGATGGGGATATTTGGGAACTACATTATTTATAAATCTCAGTAACACAAAATGATAGTTCATAATATTTAATATCATCACACATTCAAAAATGTGATAAGCTTATTCAATTTCTGTCTTACGCAGCTTTTCTTTCCATATTCATTTATTGTGACATTCTTTGATACTGCTCTTAATCGAAGGGTGGTATACACCCTTACAATTTGCATTGCGGCATACGTGTTCGATCTAACAGTGCAAAAACTCTTTCTCGATTTCACTCGTTATTGATAATGATAGTGCTTTCGATTGCTTTAACGTTCGATGTGGCACAAACTCCCTAGCGTGGCCTGGTGAGCCCCGTTCACACTTCGAGCTCAATTTCGAGTTGGCGCATGCGCAGAGAGTAAAAAATACAGTCGATTGCTACCGCTGCCACTGGCACAAACTCCCTATTGCAATGCAATTTTCACGGAAATGCACGAGGAAATGGGTCTAATTTATCCACGTATTCGTTTCCATTTTATCATTTGTATTTTACGAGATATTGGGATGGCTTTATTCAGATGTAACATATTTTTTAGCTTATCACCACGGGCCTAAGCTCTCGTGGCTCAGTGGCGAAGCCGCTTGCCTCGTAGAGTCCCAGTAGAAACTCACGTGAAGTTTGTGGACAAATGAGTTTGCGTGCTTCACAAGGGCTATTCTAACTGCTGTGAAGTGTTCTATACCTGATTCCCTGATTTGACTATGACTGAGGTGACTTTGCTATTAAAGCAGCCCCCAGAGGGCGCTTATTAACTGAGGATTACTCCAGTGCGCTCAACGCTCTTTACGGAGTTTGGAGACGCGTTCCAATATAGACGTAACAATTCCAATGACAATTGATGTTATAGTTAAATTACACCAACAATATCCAATGATAGCGTTTTAAGTAGATAAGCATTTTTTAGTGATTTCGATTGTTTTGCGACTAACATTTAACGTATAATTTGAATGTAACCCGAGACCAACGCCGAGGCAGCACTCTCAAGAGATTATTCAATCAGAGACGGCATAACGTCAAACTCAACGCTCTTATTCAAATCTCTAATTTTCATGGAGGAAGCATCCATCTTTTAAAAAAATGTTGCGTCTATATAGTAGAGTCGCAACGCGTCTCCTCCTTAAGGAACTGCGGAAAGAGCGTACTGTGGAGTAATAAATGTAACTTCAAATCAACTTTTCCACATAGCACGTCACTTACAGATTTTAACGGTTTTTGAAGTAAAAAACAACAAACAAATACATAAATCAATCAATCAGTCCTCCGTTAACATTTACAACTTCTAATCTGAGTCATCCTCCGTTATTAAGCGCCCTCTAGGGGCCGCTGGTCAAGTCATGTCACGTCAGTCGCAGTCAAGTCAGAGAATCGCCGACAGGTAGCGCCTTCGCGCTCGCGTCTCACACGCGTCCTGCGTCATCTACCCATCGGCGTGAATTGGGAAGGAATAAGGGCATGGGTAAAGATTAGGACACACACTTCGCAGGGGTTGGAGTAGCCTCTGTGAAGCCGGCAAACTCATTTTGTCGTAACAAATTTCACTCGGGGTTCTACGGAAATCGAACCCGGAACCTCAGTGTTGAAAGGCAAGCGCCTTCGCAGTCTTGATCCCACTATGAGCCAATAGCGTCGAGGGGCGATCTGCCAAGGGAGATGGCGCATAAACGACGACAGGGGCATTTAAAATTACATTACGAGGCAATTTTTCAAAATGGCGGCAAATTATAATTATGAATATAATTTGTTGTGTGAAATAAATGCGTAAGAAACTCATTCTGGAACATTTTGAAATTTCATGTATTGAAGGAAATATTGATTAAGGAAATGAAAATAAGAAAAGTTAGTTCATAATATTTCAAGGCGAGAAGGATAGCTATATAGGCTTTTCGAAATGTGATTAGGATGGCAACTTCCTTTCCACGACATTTCCAAAGAAACCCGTTCACATTCCTTTTTTTCGAGGACCAAAATTTCATACTCCTGAGCGTTTGGCGCATTCTTGCCCAAACATCAATGAACCCAGATCCTTCATGCATCACATATCTTTTCTTTTTTCCCTTATGTTCAATACTGTGGTCATATCGCTTCTCTGAGCCATTAGAATAATCAAACAGCGTATCGAAGCCAAGAATGCCATCCGCAGTAGCTTTACCATCCACCAACATTCGTTGGCCAGTAGACCTCTCCTTATCAAGAACTCCTTTTGTTCGCATATGCCCTGCATGCCTCCGGCTCAAACCGTGGGCAGCATATTTTTTACCTTTATCTGCGCTCTCTTCAAGGGATTCACAAGATTTTGGTCAAGGTCTGTACTTTAAAATGTTGCTGGACAAAACTCTGTAGCCAAAGTATGTTGTCCCACCGACCTCTTTCCCATCGTTTGATCCTAAGGTTTCCAGAATCTACTGTCCTTGGGTATTCGGCCAGCCATTCGAAAACGATTAGTAAAACTGGGTTTTACGTCTTATTCCATTTTGCAGTGAGCGCCGATTTGGGTTCAAAATTCATCCCAAGATCTCGGCAATCCTACCAAAACTCAAAATTTCTGAGAGCTATTTGGGAACCATTGGTCAAGGCATTTGAATAAGATACCCTTTGGCAAACACCAGCAAACATATTCTTTGGCTTACGCCTATGTCATCTTTTGCTATACCGTTTCGACATCAATTCGTCTCATCAGCTTGGGAGGGGGGGTGTTGAGATCAGCAACATGGCTAACCGCATACCCAAGAACAGTAGTGGGGAGATTCTGGAAATCTTAGGATGAACTTTGTACTTCTCTACGCATTCGCCTTTCCCATTTAGCTTACGCCTTTTGACCTTTGGCTGCAACAATTTTCCCATCCCATTCAATCTCTGCCGCAGTGAAAAAATAGTTGTGCAAACATGTGAAGACTTGGGTTGCATCATACAACACAAAAATCTTGTTGATTCTCACTGAGAAGAATGGCTGAACGTCATCTGCCTTCCGTCCCCTCCGAGAGCGTGAAGGTGGATTGCGTCCCCAGAAGAGCTGGCGTTAGTGAGGTTTGCCATTTTTCCCGGTCTGGCTGGCACGAGAGAGGCGGTTCGTTGCAAATAGATTTGCTGGCCCTACGTTACATACAGAGAATTTGACAATGAAACTAACCTGCCGTTGTTTCACTATTGCTTCTTTGATTCAGCAAGAACAGCGGAGAGCGTGAAACTCAATGAAAAAAAAACAACCAATTGGTTGTTTATATTGCCGATGCATACTCTGAATCATTAAAACCAGATCCTGATCTGCAACAATGTGAGACAAAACCTTCGATCAAACCCTTCTTATCATGATAGATAAGATGTTTTTTGAGAGACATCTCGTCAAATATTAAGGTACAATACTTGTCCTGATCAATCATAGTTGTGGCTTAGCAAAACAAAATGCACTTAACAAAACAATGTATCATCAGGTGATTTGGAATTAGAGCAAAACTTCTCTCCAAATTATTTAAATGGCCATTTGTTTTCTAGAAATGTATACAAATATTCATGAACATTCTTTAAAAACATTACATTAAATAACAAATTATAATAAATCAATATATTAAATAACAAAAAATACATGTTTTCCTTATAGTGTTATGCTAACCTCTGTATTTCGAAACATCCTCGTGTTCCACTAAGACCAGCAAATCGAAATGGAGAAAACTCGAAACTGTTGCGATTGTGTCTAAAACAAAATATATTGAAATGCGAAACACACACATGAACACACAGAACACTAAAGGAACTCATGAACGTAACCAACGGCAATATGATTCACTCTTCTGCCATGTGGAAATCACATGCAGGCTGGATGTGACGTACAAAAAACAAACGAAAACCACTAACCAATCATTGCTTGATATTCTTTCATCTAGCGCTCCAAGTGGCTTGGCAGTGTGTTGCCAATTTCCATATCTCACCTTCACCCCTGTGGTTTCACATGTATTAAAACATGTACATATGGTCAGGCGGAAGATCAGGCTAAATGGACTTTGCCTTGCCATCAATAAAGACATTCATTTATTTACAACAAAATTGAAAAATTATTTGTAAGCTAAAATGTACTTGATTATTTTCTGCGTTTTTACGTTCAAAAAAAAAAAAAAAATTCGGGCCAAAAAGTAATCAAACTTATATTTTCACCTTTGAGTAATAAATATTACTCGCGTAACTTTTCTTTAACGATAAATTGCAGAAATGCGGACAGAATGGGGGCATTAGTTTCGAAAGCGGCCATTAGATTTTATGTAGTAATGCCAATCTCTGAAGAATCAGGCATGCTTTCTAACTTTCTCAGATGTTCGAGGTATCTCCTATGATAGATCTTTACCTACTTCGGTCATTTCTTTAGATTTTTTGGAGAAAATAACGGACAGAAGTTCTCCTATAAAAGATAATTGTTTATAATTCGCGCCAGTGAAAGTGTGTTTGGAATGTTGTCACCAGTGCTCGCTGCGAGCTTTTTTGCCGTCATCTGTTTATTGTGTCAGAGAGGGAGGGAGCACTAGCATCGTTCAAGAAAAGTTGCGCGAGTAATACCATTTGTTACCATTAGAAACAATTCAGTAGGCTTAGACTTCTCATCGGTAAATGGGAATGTTGCTGAAACGATGTTTACGTATTGAATATCTTAGCGAACCGACACTTTCAATTTAATATAAAATGGTTTATTATTTACAATATGAGTTTACAGCTAGGCATTGATGTACAGACTTCTATATACCGCCAACATTTAAATCGTTCGTTTGGATTGCGATCGTTGCCAATTGTCGGATGACTTGTGCTCTTATTTCTATAATTTTAAATTTGGTTGCTTTTTTAAATTAATTCACGTAGCATTGTAGGCTAGCGCGTTTTGATTTTTGTTATTCATTTCTTTTAAGCTATTTTTATTAAGTTAATTTAAAAAAGTTTGTTCTTTGTGTTGTGCCATAGCACACGTGCCCGTGCGATAACTCTCGCATGTTAAAACTCAAACCCTTCCTATCCTTCTATTTCCATTCTAAGAATGAAAGTTGTTAACGAAACGTATTTATTTGTTTAAAAATGTATAAAGTTAAATTCCATTGTACTAACACAATGTAAAATAAAAATAAAAAAACAGTGCAAATGATGTGGAAAAGTAATTTTCACTAAACATTTATTCAGTATTATTTAGAGATTAATTGGCACAATTCAACACTTCCTTAAAAGTATTTGAAATAATTATTCAATATTCTTTGACAGTTTGCTTTTCGCTATTCGTGATGGTCACAAAAATATTAAAATAGTTTTTTTTACTCTTGAGAAAACTACGCGACTGAATACGCTGACTTGAAAGTTCCACCGAATTACCTCTGATAACGAAAATACTGGTACAGGTAAAATAAAAACCAAACATAACTATACACGTCTTCACTCTTCGTTGTACATCCATAACCTTCCACAATTGGGTACACAGCATTTATAGATGTCGGCAAAACGTTAAATAATTGTGTTTACTTCACGCATAAGAAACAATCTTCATCGGTATCAAGCAACTATTAATAGTACAGGGTGCGCCAGAGAAACTTACTTATTTGAAAGGTCAATAAAAAACAAAGTAGTCAGTATTGTTTTAATTTTGTTATTTGAGAATACAAATCCCAATTTTTTTCATGCAAGTCTTGGAAAATTGACATCGGATAAATGGCGACCTCTATGGCGCATACACTGATAGAAGTCGATTTTTTTGAAAGTCGTATCCACTCTTCTGCCAGCATAGTCATTCGGTATTTGGCAATGCGTCCGCGAATGTTGCTTCTTGAGGTGTGCTATGGTCCGTGGGTCGATCGACATAAACCAGGATTTCAAATAAACCCCATTAAAAAAGAAATCGAGGAGTCAAATCTGCGAGAGCGTTTGCCGGCCAGTGGAGATCCGCCTATGAGAGAGATGAGGCGGTCGGGAAAATGATTGTCGCAACAAATGTCATTGTGTCTCGTGCTTGTCTGTGTGCTGTAGCTCATCTTGCTGAAACCACACGTTCCAACGTTCATTGTCTTCGAGTCTTTGGAAGAAAAAATCCTTCGATCATGCTTCCTGTAACGAGCGCCATCACGGGAAACTGCGCGTTCGTTTTCTTCAAAAAAATAAGGACCGAATGATTCCCATTACCGAACATCGCCACCACAGACAGTAACTTGCTCACAATTAAGTGGGCTTCTGGTGAAGCTCACGCCGGATGTACACCACACAATAAAGCATGTTTGCTTGTTGCGCAGCCGAAATGTGGAAGTAAGCCGCTCACTGAAAAAAAGACCGCGCTTAGGCAGGTTGTCAATCAGGCTTTCAACATGCATTTGACGGGCAACAAAATCGCGTTCAGTTAATTCTGCAAACAGCCAGTTTGTAGGGATGAAAATTGAAGCGTCTTTTTTTCATGGGCCAAAGGGAAAATTTTTCGGGGGCTCGAACTAGTGGTGGTCAGAACATTCCCATAGCAGCTGCATTTCGACTACGTGTTTGCCGAGCCGAACGTCGGGCTGCGAGAACGCACAACTGACTGCCTCCACTCTTTCGATATTTTCCGGGTTCTGCATGCGTCCCTTGATGTCTCCATTTCTGGTTTAGCGACACTTCCAACACTCCGAAATGCAGTACCCAGACAGATCGGAATACGGCCAGGAACGAGTCTGTGAGGAGGAATTTCAAAGCGATGCGCGGAAGGCACGTTGCCGTGAGCAACAAGTGAGCGACCGTTAGGAAAAGAAGCTCTCGACTGCGAGACCCGCTGCCTCTCTAGTCCACAGCCTGAGGCAACTGACTGGAAGGAGAAAAAAATTGGGAACTTCCCCCTCCAGATTACGCCCCTTCGCCCCTCTAACCGCCCACTCACCGCGCGGGAGTTTTTTCAAATAAGTAAGTTTCTCTGGCTGACCTGTACTTCTACTTGTGCTGCGGAGATGTGGAATCGTGAATTAATTAATAAGCAAGATAAAACCTCGTCGAGTCTGCGCAAACCACGGTGTTCACAGAAGCGTAAATAGTATAAGATAGAGATCTAACCTTCTAGCGTGACATCACAAAGATGGCCACCATCACCGTAGGTTGAAAATTGGGTGGCATGACTTAGTTCAATTAAGTGCCAACCAGCAAAAATTGAATTGAATGATCCATGAATATCTTCATCCTGTAGATTACGGAGTATGAACGATTCTTTGCAGGCTTATAGTCTCAAATGTTAGTT